ACAGTAGAAAAGAAAGCTCTTAGCACAACTCTTAGACAGTTGAAGCTTCTGTAAAACTTTCCAGAATATCTCCAACTACACACTTTGAAGCAACACTTAGGTGAAGCTACCAAGCTATATGATTATTACTATTATTATTATTATTATTATTTATATAGCGACAGCTTATTCCGCAGCTGCATTTTACAATAAAAGGGAAATTGGAATTTTCAAAATGAGACAATAACAAAATGTAACAGGAACAATAGATAGTTGAGGACCCTGCTCAAACGAGCTTACAGTCTAGAGGAGGTGGGGTATAGAAAGACATTAGGAAGGGTATTGAAATAGACAGCAAATAGACATGGTGGGAAAGTAGCAGAACTGGAGATGTGCTCAATTATACTGTGATCTTGTTGTATACACATCCCCATTGCATCCTTATAAGAGAGAGCAAGAGGAAGTTTTGAGAGATAGAAGTTATTCTTGGAGGCATAAGCATTCCTGAAAAGATACGTTTTGAGGAACTTCTTAAAGGATTGAAAACTAGGGGAGAGTCTGATAAAGTTAGGCAGGCTGTTCCAAAGGAAAGGAGTCGTCTGTGAGAAGTCTTGCAGGCGTGAATTTGCAGTAAGGGTGCGAGCAGCAGAAAGGAGAAAGTCAACAGTAGAGTGGAGAGACCAAGAGGAGGCATACCTATGAATCAGTGAAGAAATGCAAGAGGGGCTAGAGTTGGTTAGAGCTTTATAGGTAAGGGTGAGTATTTTAAATTGACACCTGTAGGATACAATTTATATTTCAGATCAGATTGATCTGTATTAACCAAATCAATCAGTAGATGGCAGTAGAGCACAGAGTAATGAAGGAGAACTTTGATCTGAACTACAACATGGACTGAAGCCCATGTAAATTATAACTTAAGGCAATGAAAGTCGAGAATATTAAATAAAAGGCTGGTGTGGGTGACATCTTTGTATCTACTCAGGGAAATCCCAGAAAATTCAAGTGATTAACAAGGGAGCTGACAGCAATAGTACCTATGGGTGAGACAAACACATAATAGGGTATAGGGTTGGTAAATGTGGGAAAGGGAAGAAACACCTATATTTTGAGCAAATGCTGGGCTACCTAAAGGAAGAAACAAAAAGAAAAAAGCAACAAAATAAAACATGAAATGAAACAGCAGGAGCTCCATAAATTACTAAACTACTAAAGAAACACATAAAGCAATAAAGAAAAAGTCTAAATGCTTAGCTTGGCAAATGAGGATACTGCTACAAATCAAAAAATAACAGGACTGCTAGGAATAAAAAAAGCAATGAGCAGGTGTATCTCTGGCACTCAGTGTTTCAGATAATTAATAAATACATTGTGTCTATAAATGTAATAGGTGTCAGGGTCAGCGTGTCAGTGCACGGCGATCCTTCAGTGTGGTCACAGCTGAGGAAGAAGGGTCGGTGTCTTCTCCATGAATAGAACTGGTGTTGTGGCTCTTCCCTCCTCACCACAGCCTACAGTCTATTTGGAGCATCTAGAAGCATTGCTGCATCACTGTGGTATCCTCACAAAATGCATATGCACTAGGCGCGCATGCCCAAAGGAAAGTCACTAAAAGGGGAAGGAGGTAGGATAATTCCAAAAGGTGGAAATAGAATTGCCGATAGAGGGGAAAAGGTGTGGCCTCTTCCTTATATAACCACATCTAACCATGTCCTCTGTGCTCAATTATACTGTGATCTTGTTGTATACACATCCCCATTGCATCCTATTGACTCCCTGATATTTGACCCATTTTTTCCTGTCACTCATCTGTGAACCTACACCATCTGTCCTGACTTTTGGCCCTTTCCTGACTACATTTACACTTGTCCCTCTTGTTACCCCTCCTGTCATAACAGAACTGAGCTGTAATGGAGCTAGCAGAATTAGCCGAGATGCTTCATACCCTGACTAGACAAGTAACTCAAGCCATACTAGAGTTACAAAGAGTGATCAACTCATCTGTTACAGGAACACCACAAGACCCTCCTGCTGCTCACCCAGTACCCCTGCCAGAAGATCATGCGATGGCACCTGAACCCCAAGTATGACTTCCAGAACATTTCTCAGGGAATAGGTCCACATACCGTTTTTTTTAACGTGTCATGTAACTTATTATTTGATCTGAAACTCAAAATCTCTTACTGTCCACACCACTATTACTCTTCTCTCTAGACCACCTCAATATTGAGCCCATGACCTCCTATATTTTAATGATCTAAACATCTAATCTTGGAGCTCTTTTATTGCCACCATGTCCTCTATGTACAACTCCCTAATAGGCATGATACAGCCCAAACCACTATTAGAAAATTCTGACAAGGCTGCAGACCAGTTGAAGATTATATCATAGAATTCAGAAGATATGCTACAGATACACACTGGAATGAGATTGGACTTATCAATCAATTCCAATTGGGGTTGTTTGAACCACTAAAAGATGACTTTGCCAATTTCATTGTACTTAATACCCTGGAAGCCTTAGCAACATGCAATCCAACTGGACATACGCCTCAGGGGAAAGCACAATAACAGTATCAAAATCCATCTGTTCTGTTTATAACTCTGCTTCCTCCTCCTTGACCTCCACAACCCGCAGAATTGCAATGAAGAAGAATGGTGAACTATTGTTTCTATTGCAGATGTTCTCATCATACAGTGAAACACTGCCCTGAAAAGACTACAAACAGGTAAGTAGCTGGATCCTTTTACTATGCATTAGCCTTGGTCATTACCACACCTTTTATCCATCTCTCTTTTCCTGATTGACTCCTGTGCCAGCATCTGTTTTTTGGACATCATTCTTGCACATTCTCTATTCATCCCTGTACATAATAAAACCTCTCCTTTGCAAATGCAACTTCTAGATGGGTCCCTTTTGCAATCAGATCTCGTTATTAAACAGATCAAACTTATTCTGGTGATGATGGGAAAATACTCTGAGACTTTGTCATTTAATCTTGTCCCCCCTCGGTTTCCTGTCATTTTAGGAATCCCATAGTTCCAAACATATTTTGTGGTCTCCAGTATGAAAAAAGGTGAGTCGCTCGAAACTCTGGAATATTTGGGAAGGATCTTCTCAGTATCCCCCAGTGTTTATAAACAATATGTGCCACTCGATTACTATGTACATTAAATGTAGATACAAAAGGTATCCTAGTGCGCTCATTTGATGTGCACTGTTTAGGCAATAACTGGGAATCTCTCTCTAATTCAAGTAATCTTTCCTTCTCCATATCAAGGAGTGTAGTAGGGTAACCTCGACTTGAAAATGTATCACTCATCTCATTGAGATGCTGTGATCGTGTAGCAGGATCCGAGACATTTCTAGCCACCTGGATAAATTGACTACAGAGTAATGAAAGAATAGTCCCCTCAGGAAGGAAACTATTGAATTCCAAAAGACTATTTTTGTCTGTGGGCTTGGTGTAAAAAATCTGTCAAAAAACCATCACCACTTTGTGTAATCTTTAGATGAAGAAAATTATTTGTGGTGTTACTGCATTCCATGGTGAATTGAATGTCATCACAGATGGCATTCATGTCCTTTTAAAAGGAATCTAGTTCTTCCCTAGTGCCACACCATATGCCAAACACGTCATCGATAAATCTCCACCAGACACATGCATGCGCAATGAACAAGTCATGCGTGTGGCGAAACCGGCCTCGCCACATGTCCTTGGAGGGGGCTGCTTGCCCGCCTCTTGCCTTTGGACTATGGACCAGACTTTATGTGAATGTGTTAACCCAGATAGCTATGCCATGGAGCCCATTCGTGTAGTTAAAGACTTCGGCTCCATGGCAATTGAACTGTGTGAATAGGGTCTGAGCGCTATTCGGTAGTTTTGTGCGCTCAGATCCCAGCTATCTGGGGATATGTGAAATGACTGTGTGTTATGTGTAAAAGGTGACTTTATGTATTTTAAATTGTTTTATGCCTTTTTGCAACCATGTGCTCAATGGAGTCTGCCTCTATCCCTGGATAATTGGATTACTTTCCCCATTGTCTCAGGATAGAGGGCTCTGTAAAACCTGTTTGAGCCAGATATCCATGTGCCAGCCAGGGCCCAAAAGATACTTTTACTAACTTTTGAACCCCTGGTCGGATTCATGCCATTTTTTAATATGTTGTTCCCCTGAATGGATTGATTGTGAATATGTAATTTTATGTGAATGTGATGTATGGTTTTAAAGTTATGAAAGTTGGGTAGAAAGTATGTTTTAACTGTATGTGTAATTGAGTTTCCTCTCAGGATAAGGGGAGGGAATATGTGGGATGTAACTGATATGTGATTGGTTGTTTTATACCTCCCTGTGGGCGGTCCTGTATGTGAAAGGCTGTAATAAAAACCAGGCTGGGTGTGCCAGCACGGAGTTCCTGTTTAACCCTCAAAGTGAAGTGTCGTCTCATTATTGGGGGAAGGATTTATTGTATGCTGTTAGAGACTGATTGCCAGGAGTGTAAGCCGCTTGGGAGTTTTTCCTGTTCGTCTGCTAGCAGCTATTCGTGTGTCTCCAGTTCGGGAGTTGGTGAATTCGTGGGTTTGCAGTTCAGGAGATTGGCGCTTGCAGTAGCTGTTGGTGCAGCTGAAAAAGGGGAATATCGCCTAAACGGTTTTTAACCTCTTTTGGGCAAAACGGTCCGTTACAATGCGCATACACATGTCCAGTTTCTAAGCCATCCAGGAACAGGTTGGCTTATGATGGAGCCATATTCGTGCCCATTGAAGTGCCTCTGAACTGTCTGTAATTATTATCACTAAAAAATAAATAGTTTCTGTGAAGCAATACATCCAAACTGGACACAAAAAATTCAATCTGAGCATTAGTGTACTGACTTTTTTCAAAACTATTTCTGATGGTATTTAAGCCTGCTAAATTGAGAATGCCCCAAGTGAATAATATACATGGGTTATCTATCTTCAAAGAAGAGAGTTCACGTAGAACATCGCTACTATCAAGTATAAAAGACCTGGACTTACTGACAAAAGGCTGTAGCATTCTATCCACGAAGACCGAAAGTGGCTGAAGTGCAGACTCACTATTGGCCACTATCGGTCTACCCGTAGGATCTACTAGCCTCTTGTGGATCTTAGGTAGTATATAAAATGTAGGCATAATCCGATGTTTCTTGATAAGGTAAGTTTTTAAAGTTTGATCTATAATATCTTTAGAGATAGCTTCTTCTATGATAGTGTAAATACCCTTAATGAGTGAAGGTGTAGGATCTCTGGGACAAATCTCGTAGGTGTTAGTGTCTCCTAATTGTTGCTCAATTTCTCTAACATTGTCAATCCTTTTCATGACCACCACAGCCCCGCCCTTATTGCAGGCTTAATAATGAGGTTACAGTTATCCTTTAAAGATTGTAAAGCCTGATACTCATCTTTAGTGAGGTTGGGGCTGTGACGGCCATGAGCAGAGGAATGCAACTTCTCCAATTCTTTATGGATAAGTCTGGAAAAGACCTTAACCTCAGGTGCCACCAGTGGGCTAAACAAGCTCCGGTTCCATAAATGAAAATCTTTTGCTATCAAGGTCTCTGAGGTCTGGGAAATACCATCCTCATTAATCTAATTAGTTTATTACAGAAAATAAACTTTCAAATTAACAAATCTTAAAAATCGTTCCACACTTATAAATAAATCAAATGAATTAAAGTTAGCGGTTGGACAAAATGAAAGTCCCTTAGATAATACCTTACATTTGTTTTCACTCAAGGTGATGTCAGAGATATTAACTACAATCAAGTCCTTCTGCTGGGATTGAACATCCTGGGATGATATGTTTTTTTCGATCGGACTGGATTCAATCTGACCCTCGTTCTGATTGACTGGTCATCGCTTGCTGCGTCTTGTCCTTTTCTTCCTTGATCTAAAAAATAAATTGAATATTGTGTTTTCAAAGATGATTGATCATCTGATGTCTCATAATCAGTAGTAGCTGAGGCTGAAGAACTAGAAGCTGTATATGTACAACATTTTGGTCGTGATAGAAAGATATATGGCATATACTGCGCCCAAGAATTGTGGTCGCGAGTCATTAGTCCATTTATATACTTTGTTATTGGCATAATCGTCAGCATCTCTGATCGTCAGCGTAGTCTGATCCCAATTTTGTGTCCACCTGATTCATGGCATTCTCTTGAGAATTTGATTCCTCAGATAATACAGTTTCTATCTGCTTAAATTACATAATTGCATATGACCTAAAAGCACTGCTTTTGGAACTAGATTGATTACTTTTCCTATTTAGGTTTTAGCAGGTTTGACTTTGGAGTCTGATCTCAATTTTTTGTCCACCATATTCATGGAGGTCTCAGATGGTGAGAACTTGACTCTTCAGATAATACTGTTTCTATCTGCATATATTACATAATTGCATATGACCTATTTTGAGATTATAAACAGAATATATATATATATATATATATATATATATATATATATATAGATAGATAGATAGATAGATAGATAGATAGATATACTAAGATAATGTCTTGTGGACATTGTATCAGATTAAATGCTGTGATTTTCCTGCATTTGTTATAGATACATGCTTCTACCATCTGAAACATATTGATCAGGATGGCTCTAAATATTTAAATTAATTTGCTGGAATATAACGGTTATTATTGCACTGTGCCTTTACCATTAAAACATACCATCTTATGCCTTGTCAAATTCCATGCCATGTATTTAGCTATACTGCTTCATACTTTGAAAAAATTCCATGTCATCTTTAACTAATGTTTTTATGTATGTCATTTAGATACATGTGTTTTTATTTTTATTGATTAATTAATTGGTTGTGGGTAGAGTTGAGCAGACACCTGGATGTTTGGATCCAGCGGGTCCGGACGAACTTTGAAAAATAGTCCAGTTTCGGGCTCGAACTTGACCCCAAACCCGAACTCCATTGAAGTCAATGGGGACCTGAACTTTTGGGCACTAAAATGCCTCTAAAAATTCCTGGAAAGGGCTAGAGAGCTGCAAAAGGAAGTAAAATGGGGGTAAGAGTAGGACAAGTCCCTGCAAACAAATGTGGATAGGGAAATCACTTAAAATAACATAAAATACATAAAATAAGCAGCCGCTTAGTAGAAAAATCCGTAATTCCCACGGTATTAGGGAGCTATCTACCAAAAGGCTGAAAGACCTAAATTGGTCTTTCAGCCAAATTTACTAATACTAAGTAAATATTACTTAGTATTAGTAAATTCAGCCCCTACTCGCTATACCACGAGTAGGGGCATGTCTATTAAACAGTGAGCAGCCAATGGATGCTCACTGTAAAAAAAAAACCCCAAAAAACCTATTGCCCCCACCCCTGTGTGATGGGTGTGGGCCCTAAATAAGAATGTGGAGGGGGGGACCTACTGTCCTCCCCCCTGCCCCCACTTCTGAGCAGTGGGTGGAGGCCATAAATAAAAATGGGGGGGACCTAATGTCCTCCCCCCAGCCCCCACCCCTGAGCGGTGGGTGGGGGCCATAAATAAAAATTGGGGTGGGACCTTATGTCCTCCCCCCCGGTCCCCACCACTGCGCGGCGGGTGGGGGCCCTAAATAACAATAAGGGGGGACCTACTGTCCCACCCCCAGCCCCCACCCCTGAGCGGCGGGTGGGATTTTTTTTTTTTTTTTAACAGTGAGCAGCCACAGACATGCCCCTACTCACGGTATAGCGAGTAGGGGCATAATTTAATAATACTAAGTAACCAGCTTATATAGTGTCACGATTCTGGGAACCTAACACGCCAACACACACACACACAAAGTGCCGTACCGGACCTTAGAGTGGCCGGGCTAAGCACACAAAGAATAGTCAGGAAACAAGCCGAGTAAAGGGGAACCAGAAGACAGAATAACGATAGACAAGCCGAGGTCAAAGGGTAGGAGAAAGTCACAGAGTCGGATAACAAGCCAGAGAGTACGTAACCAGAAACACAAGTTCAGAATCAATACTAGCAGGTAAAGACCACAACAGGGCGAAGAGGAACAGGAAAGGTAAGTATATAAATCCAAAGGTTAATTCTGATTGGATAATTTCCAATCAGAATTAACAATCACACGTGGGAGATATCTAAACCTCCCACTGTGATTGAGGCACTGTGCCTTTAACGCCGGGTCAGGTGACTGACCCCGGCGTTTGTTAAAGTGGGCGGTCTCCCAGCGTGCAGCGTCATGCATGCTGCCGCTGGGAGACACAGAGGAAGAGGCGGACGGCACCCGTGGGAGAGTGGGTGCCGCCCGCCGAGCACACGGCTGAAGGGGGACCGCGGACGGCTGGAGGGTGAGTGCCGCGAGCGGACTGCAGCCTCCCCTCACAGCCGCCCGCGGGACCCTGACATATAGAGGCTGAGTCACATGCTGCACTGGCCAATCACAGCCATGCCATTAGTAGGCATGGCTGTGATGGCTTCTAAGGGCAAACCAGTCAAACACTTGTTGATTGGCTGCCCTGCAGCCTTTCAAAAGGCGTCATTAAATCGCCGAACACCAAACTCCAACCCGAACATACAGTGATATGTTCGTGTTCGAGTCCAGGGTCCAAAAAACGTAATGTTCGGTACGAACCTGAACTTTACAGTCCGGGTTCGCTCAACTCTAGTTGTGGGGTTATATGTGCACATTTGCACTTTGTTATCCAAATGCATGATTAAGGCTCCGCTGAGCCGAAACGTCAAACTTTCTGTGGGGTGGTTTACCTATCAATAATTATACCATCCTTACTATTGGAGGGTTGCCTGCATTTATTCCTTTTGAAAACCTACCAAAAGGCAGACACTCTTTATAGAAAGCACACCTCTGAACACCAAAAATTCAAACAAGATGAAACTATAATGGTATCATCTTTTTTTGGAATTATATCACACATACTGCAGGAAATTCAGAATGCTGCCTCCTTAAACGATCTCAAATCAGAGGGTTATCCTTTGTCACATAGAAAGATTGATGTACTAAAAATCACCTGCCTAAATGTGTTAGATAACTTTCATGATACACCCTTGGCTGGTCTATGTAGAGAAAAGAAAGACACTAGAGCATTCAGCAACATTTGCAATGGCCTTCTCTTCAACGAGATGTCAAGGAACTGTCTCCAAAAAGCATCATTAGAAGCACTTCCACTACTACCAGGGCATTGGAATCCTACGAAAAGCACTGAAACAGTGCTACCTACATGACCTGCTGGCCTACTTGTAATAAACGAGAGCCAGACCCATTTCTGTGTGGGGCTGCCCCCTTTCGATGGAGCCACTTATGCAATTGCATAATTGGCTTGCCCCCTTTAGCCACTTTATACTGGTATCCTGCTTCTCGGGTCGCTGATGTTGAGGGATATGAAACTTATTTTTCAATGTAAGTAATTAGGCCCTAACATACAAACCAAGGTCAAACAGTGTTCCATGTGAAAGGAAAGTACTTAGAGCCTTGGGGCTTAATTTAAGAAGGTAAAGGAGACATTTTGCAAGCAGAGACATGCCAAGGTCATGGATTACAGAATAAGACAGAAATGAGTAGCAGACCAGAGTCAAAGATCTCAGAAGTCAGACTATGCAAGAAACTAAGCCTAGTCAAAACCAGATTAAATCAGTAAACAGTAGGAATGCAATCTCAAGCAACTAAGCACACAATAGGGCACATAACAGATTGTAGGGTGATATAGCCTTGAAATGAATAATATTGAATTGCACCACAAATTAAGAAATCAGAACATGTGCCACCAATGCCATGTTGTGTAAAATTGATGCAAGTCAGGGTCACTACAAGGAATCGTATCAGTGGAGAAGTCCAGAATGCCACACAGCTTCAAAACATGTACCACTACACACCTGGAAAGGGTTTCTTACTAAGTCACTGAGTCATCAAGAGGAAGAGTCACAACTCTTATACACCTGGAGTGTTAAACCATTGGTAGGTTACAACATAGAAAGTACAATCACATGAGACATTAGTCCGTAAAAAAGTTTTATCACCTGTCCAATGAGTTTGAAGGGGCGGAGCTATCAATATATGAAAGCATTTTTTGTTTTAATTGAACAGTAATTTTCCTCTCTCTCATTTAATGTTCCCATACAAATTCTATATTGTTTTCAGGACAAAAAAGGGCTTTCTTTACATACCATTATTTGTATCAGGTCATATAATTTACTTTAAAAAAAAATATGGTGAAAAACTGAAAATAA